CGAATCTCAGTTTTTAAGGTTCCTTAAACTCCATATTGACTAGCCTATTTCGTCGCCTGTAATTTCAAAGCTTCTTAGCACCTTATAGATGCGCCCGCCATTACACGGCAACAAAAGCCTTGAAGAAAGATTTTATTCCCAGCCAAACGCGGTGGTGAAGCCAACACCACCTCCAACTCCCGTCCCTGAAGAAGTACCGGAAAGGGGTTAGCAGCCTATCTAAACTTATTCTCCTTGCTTTTTAGAACTGAAAGCCATCATTGATGCGGTTGGGCTGACGCTTGATCGTTTGCGCCAAGACGGTAGGTTTTGCGGCGTTTCGGACCCGCGAAATACAAAAATTGTTGTGGAGCGAAAGGCTAGACTCTAGTCGCCTCCCCCTATCGCGTGCCCTTGTGATCGTAGCCTGTGGTCCCGCCACGGCGCCCCCCATTTCGTGTCGTAAGGCCCCCGCTCTCCCCGGGAAATCGCCCATTTTTATCACTCCGAATTTTATCCTCGTCTGCTGCTTGTCGAATAAACATCTTTTGTTTATTCGATACTTCAACTACATTCCATCAAGCACTTCACCCACTTCAAGGACACAACAATTGGCGAGCAGGTGATTCGACACTTACGCAAGAAGGGACACCAACAAGAAGCTGGCCCCCGTCACAAGGTCGAAGTCTACGAAACTGAAGGAAGAAGAAGCCCAAATGGAACAAGTTCTGCAAAACGTTCTGACCGCAATGGAAGAACGTCATCGTGAGCAGCGTGCCCAAGATGAGGAGCGTCACCGGGAGCAGCGTGAGCAAGACAAACAGGCCCACGAACTGCAAATGAAGCTGATCACCGAACAAATGGCCGCGTGGATGAGTCAAGTCAAGCAAGAGCCCGCCGATGGAGAAGCCGCAAACAAGGTTCGTCTTCAAACGCTGAGGGACTCCATTCTGGCCCGAGTGCCGAAATTTGCTTTGACGAGGACCGCTCAACGTTCGAGCTATGGTATGCCCGGTATGGCGAAGTTTTCGTGAAGGACGGTGCCGAGTTTTCCGAAGAGGACCGAAGCCGGATGCTGATCGAGAAATTGGAGGACACCGCCTACGAGCGATTCACGAAGTTTATCCTGCTGAAGGCCGCGCACGAGCTGAAATACGCCGAGATCGTGGACACTTTGCTGAGGATCTTCGTGCCATCCAAGTCACTTTTTGCCCTTCGCTATGAATTTTCTAAATTGAAATTCCAGGGCGGTGACGTGGAAGAGCTGGCCAAGCACGTGGACCAACTGAAGTTCGCATACGAGAAGGCGAAGATGCGCGAGATCAAGGAGCACGAACAGAAGGCCCTTTCTCTACTGCTCTCGCTGCCCGGTGCTGAACATGAAGTGACACGAAGCCAGATCCTTCGCAAAATGGAGGAAAAGCCGGACTCTACGCTGGACGAAGTTTTCGCGCACATTCGCCACTTCGTATCAAGAAAGAAGGACGCCAACCTGGACACCAAGTTGCCAATGGAGGTGCATGCCGTTTCAACAAGGCCGCCCCAAATTCCAAAAAGCCCGACTACCGCGCAATCTACGATGAGCCGCCGCAAGAAGCGTACAAGGCCATGTCGACATTGTGAAGGTGCACACTGGGATAATGAATGCCCAGTCCAAGTTCAACCGCCCGCGGAAGAAAATGTCGTTTTTGTAGGTTCAAATTTTTCGGACCACGACATCGATCGTTTATACCATGATGTGGCGATCGACGGGCACCCGCTGAAGATGCGTGTTGACACGGGCGCCGACGTAACTCTCCTCGACAAGAAGGACTGGGTCAAGATCGGCAAGCCCGCGCTCAAGCCAACGTCACTCAAGATGAAGGCCGAAAAATGGACGGGACATCAAGGTTCATGGGACATTCGAGAGCAAGTACGTCATCGACAAGAAGGAGATGATCGGTGTTGGACACGTCATCGATGGCCACACCCTTCTCGGCCTCGACTGGCTGAAGAATACGGATGCAATGGATGCATTCCGTGCACCTGCTCAAGCCCGAACCGTCGAATGAAAATCCGCCATTTGAATTCATGGGACGCAAGCTACAAATGAAGCCACCAATGCGCTCGCTGCGTGCCCCAAGCCCCGCCGCACTGGTCGTGAGGACTGCCCACCGACGCCGCCCAGCAAGAAAACGTTGTTTCTCACCAGGTGAACACGTTTACGCTAAGGAATGGCGCAGGGACCAATCTACCTGGATGCCCGCAAGAATTCTACACAAGGACTCCAAATTCCTCTACACTGTCAAGTTGGAAAATGGACTGCTACGGACGCGCTACATCAATCAGCTCCGCAAGCCCGACAAGTCGTCAATGTGTCAAGGATCTTTCGAGGAAGAGAAGGAGGGATCGCCGCCACTGCCGTTGCCAAATGCCGACAAGTTGCCCGAGCCCCAGCGCAAGATGCGTGCTCCGATGTGATGGTGCCCGTGTTCAGCCTACGCAAGAATTAAGCTAAACGAATGAAAGAAGCATTTTTTCTTTTCGCGTTGCTATGTAAATTCTGTGTAATCTTTTCACGATACTTTTATGCTGTACCCACATTCGGTTTTTCATTCCTCACACACCTCCAGTCTGGTCATGTGCCGACTTTCAATCTTCCCTAAAAGGAGGGAGGTGTTGTGGAGCGAAAGGCTAGACTCTAGTCGCCTCCCCCTATCGCGTGCCCTTGTGATCGTAGCCTGTGGTCCCGCCACGGCGCCCCCCATTTCGTGTCGTAAGGCCCCCGCTCTCCCCGGGAAATCGCCCATTTTTATCACTCCGAATTTTATCCTCGTCTGCTGCTTGTCGAATAAACATCTTTTGTTTATTCGATACTTCAACTACATTCCATCAAGCACTTCACCCACTTCAAGGACACAACAAAAATCAAGGACGGCAAAACGCAAAAAGTTTTTCTCCACCTCTAAAATCGATTTTTCTTTCAGTTTAAAACTAACCATTCAGAAGCGCCGCACTGGATCACGCTGCGCGTCGCCTGCTTTGCAATCCCACCCCTCGTGGGGACGGGCGGTGAACGGATTCGGCATATTCAAGACGTTACCGCTACGAGCATCACCGTATCCCCTTACCTCGAGCCGGATCTTCTGTTTCGCGCCGTACACATCTACGGGACCGTTAGGGGCGTTATGAGCGCGTGTCGCTATGTAAGAGCGGTAAGGCTTCTGGTAGAAACGTTGATCTCAGTTATATAACAAAATCTAGTAAAACATCCATTAAAAATTCAGCTCGCCGACTCCATTGATCCGAACATGCCATTTTCGGAGGTTATCTGGGTACCGGGCAGATTCATCGGGCGCATCATCGGCCAACGCGGGTGGACGATTAAATGGTTAAAGGTATAAACGCTAATAAATAGTCATTATTTGCTAAAGTTACTACACTAATCGACTTAATCGACTGTACGTCATCAAAAATAAGTTTCCACTGAAAACCTTCCAGGCAGTCACCCAGGCCTACCTTGGCTTTCCAAAGCACGAGCCGGGGCCCTGGCACAAGCCACTTCCGCTTTTGATTGCCGGCACTCAGAAATCGGTAAGAGCTGAAAAGTACGACCGTAACAAATGAAATAGGTATATTTTGCTGCCAACTTGGTCCGTTTCTATATATTGCATCCGAATGCTTGGGTTGCCCCGGGGAACTTGATGGCTCGGCGGCAAACGGGTAAGTTTCTAGCGGAAACCGGCTTTTTGAAAGCAACGTGTTTTGTGGTTTCTAAACAAAAAAGATTTTATAGTTCCAGCTCCTCAAAACGCTGTCAACAACTACGACGCGGACCCGGCGCCACCCCCTCCTCTGCCCGCGTTCAACAACGAGACCGGCCAGGCCATGTACAGCTTCTATCGCAATCTCAACCTGCACGACGAGGCGGTGATGGTCGCCGAGGTGATGCAGGTAGGTATCCAAAAATTCCAGCTACCCAATCGACCTCCGCTACCCCATACACCACACCATGCCTCTTCTGATCACCGTCAGATCGCACTCCGAAATGAAATCGTAGCACGAGGATGGTTTTTCTCTCCCATCACTAGGAACACCATTGAATCCAGTGGTACAACTCGCTTGTTAGGATACGACGAGGGACACTCACGATTTTTATTTCTTTTGGCCAAGATTAGTCCAGAACGTCACCAAATTACACCCCATACTAACCAGGATAACTTTTGAATTTTCGAAATATTTTACATCACGTCACACCTCACCCAGGAACAATTTTTTTTAAGCTCTATCACCACCAGATTTATACCACCCCTCTCTGCATCACACTAAAGATTTGGTCGATACAATTCTACGTTCAATCTCTCCAAAAAGCAAAATAAAATTTACTATCAACCTCTCATACCTAACAGTTCTACCACTCGCCATTCAACTTATCCATATGATGGAGCCATACCATCCCTCATCTATCCATTCAATCATCATTTTCCGGAAGCTTCTTCCACAGTATCAATCTACCCCTTCCATGTCGTTACCAGGGTGCCCGTTTGATTCCACCCTCGCGTGAGGTTCCCTTGTTAGGATTACAGCAAAACTCTTTTTTGTAAACACCTTGGAATTTAAACATACTTGCCTTCAAACCAGAAAAATATTTTCCAGCACGCCGGATGTAACCCTGAAGCGCGCCACTGGTCCCGGGCGAGCCAATAACTCGGAAAAATACCTCAAATCTAGGCGCCCCAATGATCTTTTGTACTCACAAAATAACAAAGCTATTCGACGATAGCTGATCCCTAACCTACCACCCCTATCTTTAAATCATAAATAACTTTTGGAGAAACAAAAATGCTTGGAGTTCCAAGCAGAACTGCATAGTTCTCCGTCCCAATTCGCTCCGTAGCACCAATAAAATTTTGCCGATAATTTATAAAGCGCATTCACACGTGGCTTCGCCCCCATATTGCCGCACAAAAAAATCACAAATTCACAATGTATCACAATAAACAAAATGAAAAATCGATACCTAGTTCAGGTCAATAATTTCATGACGCGGCTTGAGGGTCCACCGGGGCAGCTTCAGGGTCCGCTGGGGCATTTTGAGGGGCAGCCGTCGGGTCGATCGGGGTAAGTTCAACGCCGGCCCGCTTCTGTACTTTGAGCGTCACACTCTTCGGAGAAACGGTGATCCATCCGAAATACTGCAGGCTTGCCTATAAATAGACGTTGAACGGTGTCTTGACGTGATACAGTAATCTCCGAAAAATTATATTCACCTCAAATTTCTCGCCGGCAGTGATATCGAAATGGCGGTAGACCTTGGCAAGGGCGTATTTCAGCTCCAACTCGCCCAGATACCGACCTAAGAATAATTTATTTGAAAAAATAATTTCTGACCTGCACAGATGCGCGGACCATCACCGAACGGCAGATAAGCAGCCAGTTGCTCGTCAGTGACATGGTGCCACCGAAAGAAAAAGTGTTTTCAGCTTCAAACGAGAATCCACCTTTCCGGTTTAAACTCCATGGCATCGTCACCCCAGATCTCGGTGGATTTTTGCAAAGAGCGGACATCAATCTGTAATCAGTAATCAAGCTAAAAGCTGCAGTAAAATACCTGCACGCAGTCGCCCTTGGCCAGTTTGATATTGTCAAGCACACCATCATTCTGCGCAATCCGGGTAACGGCCCTAAAAACCGTTGAGGGAGAACAACAAAAATGGCCTACACGGTTCCGGTTGGCTCGAGACGCATGACCTCTTTCACAACGACATTCAAAAATGGAAGGTTCTGAACTTTGTCGTATGGCATTGGGGCGTTCGGGTCGGGGAACTCGGCGTCCAGCTCCTCTTGCAATAGTTCTTGGACCTAAACAAAACAACTAATTCGCCAAAACGAAATTACCTTTGGGTATTTGGCCAGATAGTAGGATGCATAAGCCATTCCGCTTGAAGTACTGTCGAACCCGGCGATCAAAAATAGTAAGCAATGCACCGCCACCTCAGCCTCGTTCATCCCCTTAGACGAGCCCACCTAAACCAGATTGAAAACCACAAAAATAAAATTACGCTCGGCCCCGCGAGTCCATCAAGCGCTTCCAGCTCCAAGTTGGTTTCATTTCCGGTGGCGTTGAGAAAGTCGTCGATGAAATCCTTCGATTCGCTGTTGGTTTTTCCCTAAAACAAAGAATCAATAAAGTAAATCGGTCTCTTACCGCCCGCTCAATCTTGCGCAGCCTGATCGCTTCCTCGATTACCTTGAGTTGCCTAAAGGGAGGCTGCTCAGTCAGCCGGCCGGCCGTCAAGAAAAACTTGCGAGCCAACTTAACTCCGCTGTTCGCAAACAAAGATGTATAGTTACCGGCCGCAGAGCGCTAAACATGGCAGCACTAAGGAAGATCGGGTTACGAGGGTCGCGGTTGAGGAAGGCCTTCGTCTCGTCGACGTATTGGTTCGAGAACAGTTGGGAACCCTTTTGGCCCATCGCCATCCGAGAAATGATGTCGATGGTCAGCTCCTGGTAGTTCCTGGTTTGAAAAAATGGTGAGGTCTTGAAGAAAGATTCATACCTTAGCATCTCGATTTCCTGCCCATCAAAGGTAAGAAGATGGTTCACAAAATGGTGGGTCGAGTCGGTGATGGTGGGGTAGAGCTAAAAGTGGGGCCAAAATATAACGAAAGGAAGCCTTCTTGCCTTCTTGACATTGAGGGGTGAAAGCTGATGTGCGACAATCCTGCGCAAGCGCCTCCACCTTTGCCCGTAGGCCTCGACGAGATGGGCGCTGTCGTCCGTTGGTCTGGTTTGGAAGATGGGGTTTCCCTAAAAATAAAGGGTATCAAAAACGAAAACAAAACTTACCCGTCTCTGTTGGTACTGCGCGTACTCCGAGACCAAGACTTGCTTTGCCAGCGCGGGGGTGGCGACGACGAGTATATTGCGGTAACCCTCTTGATAACCCCAGACCGGGCCGAACTTCTAAAAAGAAGGAAATACGCGTCGGAGGTAAAAAGACGTACCGCAGTATAGCCAGGCAGTCTGTGATACCATGGATTGTGTGGGTCGGTGGATTCCATCAGTGAGCCGATTATTGGCCTGAACTCGAGGCATGGAACGCCCTTTCTTTTCCAGTAGGATCCACCGAGCAGCCGGTCGCGGATGAAGGTGAGGATTCCGTCGAGATGCCCGAAGCCGGTGACGAGCAGAACGGAGAGTAGTAACACTCCAGCTGTCACCAGCCACATCAGAATCGCCAGAATCATCCCGAGGGGGTTTGCCTGAAGAAAATTAAGATTAGAAACAAGAAGTGGACGAGTTCGCAAACAGATGCAACATTCAATTAAACCGATTTTAAGGATTCAGGGCCAAAAATTAGCTTGTAAAAAAGTAAATAATGGATGGGTAGGGGAATATTCGCAAAGCATCAAGCCAAACGTCCCAAAGATTTCCATAACTAGCCCGGAAAAAGACACGTAGTTTTGTCCGAACCGGAGGATAGAATAGGTGCGCGCGGTTGCACTTTGGCAGAACTCTAGTCGCCGAAAGCAAAACCTATCCACTTGCACTTTAAGGGTGGAAAACACGGATGGGTAGGGGATACATCGAGGAGGAGGAGGAGGCGGCGGCAAAAAGGTAAAATGCGTAAAAAGTGCTGGGGGTATGGCGGTGCCCTTTGGAAACCTAGTGCGCGACCCCCGATGTAAAAAAAGTTTGATAGAATGTAAAATACGTACAGTGCGTACAGTAGGTACCGAGAAAATCGCAAGAACCGAACTGCTTGGCTCGGGGAACGTCGTCCGAATGTCCTAATTGTTTCAGCGCCTAGTCGGGCTATCCGTACTAATGTCAGCAAAAGTCTAGAATTTTTTCTTCCGGTAATTAATTACAATTAATTGTACAAAACGATTATTTAGAATGAAATTTCTGCAAAACCAAAATTAACTTTCGCTTGAAACTTTTGAATTGGCCAGCCGAGAAGCGCAAAGACTTCATTGGGTATCTCCCGACCTCAGAAAAGTTAAAAAGATTACTTTTCCGCTTTTTTCTGGTTGGATCTCTTTCATTACGCGTCCTTGCCCACGGCTTTTTTGGTAGCCTTGGATGTTGGCCGAAATGCGGGGCGGGTGTTTCGATTGATGGTGCACATGGGGTTGGATGATGGAAAGGCGAGTTGCTAGCTTCGGTTGTTTTTTATTTAATTTTCAATGAGTAAAGTAAATAGCGGACTACGTTGCTTACATGACATCTACGCTTGAAATCACGCTTACTAGCGCTAAAACATGTTCGCAGAAAAACATGCGCGCGTTTTCTGTTGTTTAGAAACCACTCTAGGTTTTGGTTATAACTAAAAAAGTGAGAAAGGAGAAAGGTACAAGTGAAAAGAAAAAGGAGCGATCTTTCCGGGTGGGTGCACTTTTCCTGGTTGCCCTTTTAGCAGCTCGGGCTAGTGAAAGTGAAAAATTGGCCTAGCTTGGGGGAGTGCAAAAATGGCTGCATGGTATGGGTGTTCAAACCGCAGGGAGCGCGTAATGAAAATTAGAAATACGGTTATAATATGGTGGAAATATTAACATCTAGAGATCTACGGATCTAACATCTTTTTCCGCCCCCTCCAAGCCGGCTATAGTATTATTTCGCTGGTGCAAGCGCGCAACAACCGATACGTGCAAGGTCGCAAGGCTCGATAGGGTCAAAAACCCCCTTGGGGAACCCAAACGCTGGTAGGGGAAAAAAGAGCAGTAGCAGCAGCCTGGAGATTGATGCGATATTTTTGGGGGATGGGTGGGGAACGCATAGTTGACAGCCTGGCTTATTGACGGCAATGCGATGAGCAATGTATTATCCGGCCCTGTTAGTTCCTGCGTTAATGTATTTATTTGATCTTCGGGTGTCTGGAAAACAAAAAGTTAGCCCGTCCTTTTCTTGGCAACAACTGTCACGGATTTCGGGGCGACGGTCATCCAGCCGAGCAGGTGCAGCGATTTCTGAGACTAAGTTATGATCGAAAAGATTAAATTACCTCGAAGTTCGGGCCAGCTTCGAGGTTATAATCTCGTAAGAGGGAGGCCAGAGCGAGCTTCTCCTCCATGTAAGCTAGTTTAAGACCTAAATTTTGGTTCATTGAGTTTTTGAGTAATTAAAAGATTTTTAAGACTTAAAAAGTTTTACGTAGCATACGTACGTTTACGTTTCAACTTCTACATACCTACACACTGTCGAGGACCCGCACCAAAAGCTAGATATGCTTCTTTTTGTTCGGAAGTTAAATTTTGCCATCTAAACACTGGTATAACACGCTTTTTCTAAGGTTTTTGTCACCGATCCGGGTTGAACTCCTCGGCATCGTCGCCCCAAATCTCCGGATCGCGCTGGATGTAGTAGGCATCGATCTAGATACGAATTGCAACAGAATTTTCCGTTTTCTTTCAGTTTTCGAGTTTTAAAATTTGAAAAGTTACCTGAATAGCATCGCCCTTTTCCAATTTGACCCCGGCAAGTTCGCAATCCCGCTCGGCCACCCGGCAGCAAGCCCTTTAAAGGTACATTAAAATCTCGTTCAAAAAAGTTTGGTTGCGGTAGGAAATTTGGGCTCTCTACCGTAGCCAACCCAGCCCCTTCTTATCGCCTCTCCCCTCCCCCCTCCCCGTCTCTCCCTTGGCCTAGTGGTCCAAGGCGCTGCCCCAAGCTGGCAGTCAGGGTTCGGTTTTGCTCCGCGGCGAGCGCCTACCGTAACCCTATTTGCTATCCCGCGGACGGTTACCGACCGGTAACCCAAACCAACGAGACTTTAGTGTACCTTTAAATTGATTTTAATAGATTTAATTTTCGTTTGTGTTAAATCTAATCTAATTTTAATTTTAATTTCATTCCAAATTTCCGACTTACATAGTCCCTAACGGGTGCAATCTCAGCACCTCCTTCGCAACCATATCGAAAAATTTCAGTTCCCCGAGCTGCTCGTAGGTGATCTCCTAAAATCGCGCTATTTTTGGGCCGTTTTTGCTTACTTTCTCAGTGCAAACTTGCTCGATTTCCTCTTGCACTCGGCGTTGGATCTAAAAAGTTATGATATTGGTAGGTATCTCTTACTTCAGGATATTTCGTCAAATACCAGCTAGTATATGACAGTGCATTTGCTGTAGTATCATAGCCGGTAAGTAGGAAGATGAAGCACTGCATTACGATTTCGTCCTCTACCAGGTGACGGACTACCTAGAAATTACCTGCTTTTTCAGGCCAGGGCGCTTCCAAATTCTGCAAATCGCGCCCAAGAACTTGCATGGTTTTGCCGCATATCCGCGTTTTCCTCGGCCTTCAGATCCACTTCAGCTTCCGCGTCCAAAAACAGATCAATGTAATCGACGAGTTCTTTCTCCTCGGAAGTGGCGCCGCCTTGAGCCTTGAATTTTTGGTTAAACCGGGTTCCAAAAGCTTACTCTCTCCTTTTTCCGCTCAACAACAGCGTTTTTGATTTGTACAATCAGCGGCATACCAGCCAGCATAAAGATTTTGCCCAAGAAAATGAAGAATGCACGGAGGTACTAAAGTTATCGTGTTTTTCACGTGTCTGAAGCCAATTCGTACCTTTTTCATGCCCGGAAAAATGCAGGCTAAGATAAAGAATGGGTCCCGCGGGTCACGACCAAGTATCTGGAAAAATTTATCGTTTTTAGCCATGTAGCTTACGAATTTCAGCTCCTTGATGTAGGCATTGCGGAACATGGTACTTTCTTTTTGGCCCATTGCGACGCGGGTAATGATGTCAGCGGTAAGCTCTTGCCAATAGCTATAAATTATCAAAAATTAGTTAAACTATGCAGTTCAAAATGTAAAGTATTATTAAAAAATGGTAATGCAGTCATTTGGTAACAACCTACTCGTGAATATCAATTTCTTGCCCCTCTTTTTCGGCGATGAGCCGTAGAATTTCTTGGGTAGAGCTTTTTACGGTAGGTAAAACCTAAAGGTTAGGTAAACTTAATTTCATCGTCTGTTTCCAGGCTTGGTTTTTGAAGAACTTCTATTATTTATAGATACCTTTTTCAAGCTGCTATTCGAAAACTGTGGTGAAACAAGGGATCGCAGGCGTTTCCATCTGTAGCCCCACGCGGCGGCTAGATGGGCGAGGGGATCATCGGCTTCTTGTTGAAATAGCGGATTCATCGGCTTGGAATATAGTGTCCTTTTTTTGGTAATAGTTTTACATACCTTTCTTTGTTGGAAATCGTCAAATCTGGTATGCAGCAATTCTTTGACAGTTTTCTGGTCGGAAATGACCAAAACACTTGTGGCACCCTCTTGATATCCCCACATTTTGCCGAATTTCTAAAGGGGCATTGTTACTTTATTGACATTATTTGTACTTTTGTAGTGTATTTCGAGTTCTAAAAAACCAAAAACGCGACTTCTTACCTTTGTATATTTGGGTAATTCCGGAAACCATGCGCCGTTCGGGTCGGAAGCGTGCCATTGGAGCCCCAGGATTGGTTGGCCCTTGAGGTTGGGCACCCCCTTGCTGTCCCAATATCCGGCTTTCAGATACGTTTTATACAAATAGTATCCTATCCATAGACATAAAGCTGATGTTATGATGAGAAATAGCATCTAAAATGTAAATTCAACGTCGTAGGAAGGCATAGAAAAGGGAGAAGGAAATTTTATGCACTACGAAAGCGAAAATTGAAATTTTTCCTAAAAAGGTAGAGTTTTAATTTTAGCCTCAAAGACCAGCTGGTAGAAAAAAAATCGGCGTCAACGAGCAGATAAGACGAGCTGGAAAAACGTAGAATTTCCAAAATACTACGCGCGTTCCGATAAGGGTGCTTTCGCTTTGATAGGTATTTGTAGCGGAAGGAGCGTGACGAAATTTGAACCGAGCAAGCGCTTAGAATCGTCGTTTCGTCATTATCATCCAGGAGTAAAGAACGAAAATCTGTACTTGTTGGTGGAAACAAATAATAGTAGGATCGCTTAGAGAAAAAAAAAACAGAATTGTGCTACCAGGGCTTGGAAAACGGTTGGACCCCGATCCTGGAACAATTTTTACGCCGGCAAGCAAATTTTAAAAGGATCCAAGGTCCGGGTCAACCCGCGGGTCCGCAAATAGAGGCAACCAGGGAGGCAAATAATCACTCGGCCGGGTCACAAAATAGCGCGAGAATGCGAGGGCCAGGTTTTGCTAGAAACGGCGCTTTCTGAAGGCTTTTTGGATCAATCTTTCTTTTTTTGTATTGAGGTAAAATGATGTAAAAATCAAAATCATAGCGGTTTTTGAGTCTTGTTCTCGTGTGTTTTCAATTCATAAATTTAAATTTAAAGTATTTATTTTCTTTCCAATAACTATCGCTGCTTTGCGATGACAGTCACTGATTGCGGCGAAATCGTTATCCATCCGGTTAGCGCAAGCTTTTCCTAAAACATTTGATTAAATTTGCTGATGCTCAAAACCTCAAAATTCGGCCCAGCTTCGAGGTTATACTTTCTTAATACATTCGCCAATGCCAATTTCTCTTCCATGTAAGCAAACTTCATACCTGAAGCCAATTTTTGAGCTAAGGTTTTTTGCTCACCGACGCATTGTCTGGGGCCCGCGCCGAAGGAAAGATAAGCATCTTTTTGTTCGGAGGTCAGGTTATGCCATCTAAAAATTGTTGCGATTTATTTTTTTTTTTGGATAAAATTACCGATCGGGATTGAATTCCAAGGCGTCTTCGCCCCAGATTTCTGGCGCTACTTGAATGGAGTAGGCATCGATCTAAAACATTCCTGAAAATTCGGCTATCAAAAAATACCTGAATTTGGTCTCCCTTTTCGAGTTTCACTCCCGCCAACTCGCAATCGTTTTCCGCTACTCGGGCTACGGCGCTAAAATCAAATGAAAATTATTGATTTTTTAGCGAGCAGATTATGAGCTATTTTATAGTATAAAATGTATCGTTTTTTATTAAGCTAATTTTCGAGTTTTAAGCGACTTACACAGTGCCTAGAGGATGGAATCTCAAAGCCTCCTTCACCACACAATCCATATATTTCAGCTCGGCAAGTTGTTCGAAGGTAATTTCCTGGAATTTATGGAGTTTAATTTTTTTTCCTTTATAAGCGATTACTTTTGTCGTGCAGACTTGGTCAAGTTCTTCTTGTAGACGGCGTTGGACCTACAAAAAAAGTTTATTTTTTATAAATACTACTGTACCTCTGGATACTTTGTCAAGTACCAGCTCGCGTAGCTCAACGAGTTGGCTGTCGTGTCGAAGCCGGCCAACAAGAATAGGAAACATTGCATGACGACTTCTTCTTCAATCATGTGCCGGACTACCTAAACTTCGTCATGCGTAGCCGTTTTAATACTAAACAAATTAAATTATGTCTATTTGGTAGGTTGGACATGCAGATGCAAATTACAAAAATTATGAACGATTGAAAACTCGTTGAAACCTACGTGGTCGCGCTTCATATTCAAATTTTCCTCCGCCTTCAAATCGACCTCAGCCTCCGCATCCAAGAACAAGTCAATAAAGTCGACCAATTCTTTCGTTTCCGACGTACCACCGCCATTTGCCTAATTGAAAGTTTGTATTACCTCCACGCAAACTTGTTTTACCCTCTGCTGCTTCCGTTCCTTTACGGCTTTCTCGATTTTTATCAAAAGTTTGGCTGCTGCTAGCCCAAACAGTCTTGCCAAGAATATGAAAAGCAGGCGGACATACTCAAAACAAAAATTTTTCTCGTCATAGATTCAAACTTTTTGGAAAAACGGAGCCGCGCAGCTGAGGAGGAAGAGCGGCTCTCGTGGGTCTCGCGCAAATGCCTCAAACGTTAAAAACCCTTAATTTGGAGTTCTGAATTACATGTCGTAATTCATCGGCGTATTCGCTTTGGAACATTGTGGATCCCTGTTGTCCCATGGCAATTCGAGCAATGACATCGATGGTTAATTCTTGATAGTAGCTGAAAATATTGCGTTGATTGTGTCGTTTTAAAGGTGCTAGAAAGCGAAAAATCGACCCTTCCATCAACTAGGTGTCGAAAGTCACCGGATTTCCATTTTCTAGCCCCTTTCATTTTTGCCTAAACTCACGTGTGAATATCAATTTCCTGCCCCTCTTTCTTCCCAATAAGGTCTGCCATCGTATTCACAGAATCCACAACGGTCGGAAGGACCTAAAAGGATCGTAATGAAGCGTATCCTCTCGTACTTACCTTTTTCAAGCTGCTATTCGAGAATTGGGGGCTGACTAGGGCTCGAAGCCGTTTCCACCTATATCCCCAGGCTTCTGCGAGATGCGTAAGCGGATCGTCGGCTTCCGGTTGGAAGAGGGGATTTCCCTAATTTTTTTGCTACTAATACGTTACGATACGTTACGTTCAGATATACTGGTGTCACTTACCTTCCGTTGTTGAAATTCCTCAAATCTCGAGTGTAAGATCTCCTTCACCACCTTCGCGTCCGCAACCACCAATACATTCTTGACACCCTCTTGGAAGCCCCAGATTTTCCCGAATTTCTGGAAGGAAAAATAAAAAATAAAAAATCCGGCCCAACCTGGGTGTATTTAGGCAGCTCTGGGAACCAGGGTCGACTCGGGTCCGCGGTACGCCACAACGACCCGATCAAGGGTTTTGATTTTATATTAGCAACGCCTTTACGGTCCCAATAAAACGACTTCTGATATCCCCACCAAATCCAATAGGCCAACCCGGCTATGGAAAGGGTAAAGAGGAGCAGGAGGAACATCTAAAAGTCTAAAAAATTGCAATCCAACGTTGTTCGGGCCGAAAAATGCTGAGGATTGTGATAAGCCTAAAAACAAAGGCGAAAAAGGTTCAGATAATATTAATCTTTATGAAAATTAACAAATCCCGATCGAATAATTGCGGTTGGGTACAAAACGTGGGTCTATTTATCTGCGACCTTGATGCAATCGCCACCCCGCGACCGGGAATGCTTTTTGATCTGACGTGGGGGGAGTGGTCAGTAAAAACGGGACCGAGAAGGGGACTACAGAGTAGCCTAAAACTATTTTCCTCTGGTTTTTTTTTATACTTTAGTATCCATAATTTAATGGACAAAACAGGATGGGCACCTAAATTTGGACACTTTTAGGTGTTTCAAGAAAATGCAAATTTTCGCAAATCTTTCTGGCAGTGCTGTGTACTTGGCGATCCATATTCAGGTAAGTTAATAAAAGTATAGGGGACAGTTTTTACAAAGACTTCCTCGAAAGTCTAAATTTTACTGGGAAAATTGAATCGATCCGGCACCCGCTGCTCCCACTTGAACGAGTGCGGAAAGAGAACCGCGGCCAAAAAGCGCAGAGTAAACAGAAAAAAAACACAAAAACAGCGCAACTCGTGAACTCTACTGCTCGCTGGTCGCTATTGCATCATGTGGTTGATCTCTGTGATAAAAATGCGAAAGAAATTCAAATAAAATAATTTATTGCAAAAATCAGGAAGTATTAATTTCAATTCGTTCGCTTCTCGACTTTGACCGTTACAGAAACAGGTGAGATGGTGAGGAAACCATTGAGATCGAGGACTTTCTAAATGAAAAAATTTGTACATTTCTTGATTCGGATTTACCTCCGTATTTGTACTTTCGACAAGCGTAAATTCGCGTAGGACGTTGGCCAGGGCCAGCTTTTCTTCTATATAGGCTAGCCGCATTCCTGGAAAATAATTCGTATGGCACTCTCTCTCTCTCTCTCTCTCTCTCTCGCTCGCTCTCTCTCACTATCTCCCCTTCGAAAATCGTTCATAACTTACCAACGCACTGCCTTGGCCCAGCTCCAAAAGTGAGAAAGGCATCTTTTTGCTCGGAACTCAACTCTTCCCATCTAAAAAATACATCTCAAATCTTTCAGGTCGGGGTACCTCTCTGGCCTGAACTCCGCCGCATCCGATCCCCAGATTTCAGGGTCCATCTGGATGCTGTCAGCGTCAATCTATACACCAGAAAATGATTTCCGAAGGTTTTGACGAACCTGGACTTCATCACCTTCCTCTATTTTGATTCCAGCCACCTCCAGATCATGGCCGGCGCGTCGGCACACAACCCTGAACGATGGCAAATTGTAGGGAAATGGCAGTGTTGCTAAAAGCTCTGCAAAAAGGGGATTGGGCAACTTACGAAGCTCCGAGGGGATGAAGTCTGAGTGCCTCTTTAACGACCATGTCAAGGTATTTGAGCTCGTTCAGGTTTTCGTAGGTGATGTCCTGAAATTTGGAGATTATGGAAAATGAATTAAACTAGGCTTAGGCTTAAGCTTAAGTTGGGCTTAGGCTTCAGTTTAGGCTTGGGCTTAGGTCTAGCTCAGGATACATACCTCGGTCCCACAAATTTGTTCGATTTCATCTTGCAGGTTTCGTTGAACCTAGAAGGATGGGTTTTAAAGGCATTTTCCTTAATGATCTCTGCTAGCCTGTAGCAAAGGGTAAATTTTTACATAATTTTCGTAAGAAAAATGATTATAACAAAAGTAGTTACTCAATTAAAATTTTTCTACCAACCTCCGGATTTTTCGCCAAATACCAGCTGCAGTAGGACAACGAATTTGAGGTGGTATCAAAACCGGCAGCCAAGAACAGAAAGCAATTCATCGCCACCTCTTGCTCCGTCATTTGCTTGAGGTTCTAAAATACAGCTGCATACCGTAGTAGGCGATTTTTTTTACCGCGTCCTTTCGATCTGTGTGCAATTCCGCCGCTAAATCCACCGTGGCTTCAGCGTCGAGGAATAGGTCGATAAAGTCGATGTGGTCTTTTGTGACTTTTGACGGGTTTTTGGCCTCTTCGGCCTAAAAACGGCTTATTTATGCTTTTTAGAGCGATAGAGAATTTTAATTTTGAGCGGAAAGACATTTTAACGCACCCTCTCCTTCTTTCGCTCCGACACCAAGCTGTGCATTTTCAAGATCAGCTTCAGCGGGGCGATGTTGGTGAACAGGGAAAAGGCGAAGAACATTTTTCGGATGATCTGTAGATCAAAAAAATCTATATATTGTAAAAATTGTATACTTACATTGTTAAACCACGGCATCGCAGCTGCCACGACATAGAAAGGATCTCGCGGGTCGCGAGCAAAGACCTAAAATCAAAATCATGGTCTTACGGTAGTTTTGTTTACAGTATTTTTCAGTTGCATCGACGGTACTAGCTTGAACTATACTACAGTAACCTACCGCTCGTAGTAGCGCTATGTAATTCCCGGCCCATTGCGTCGACTCCTTTTGGCCCATGGCGATGCGGGCGATGCAGTCCATTGTGTATTCCTGGTAGTACCTAAATCAGGTTAAAATTTTGGTTACCGAGGTATTGAAACGTCAGCTTAAAAAATGAAATAAGTCCTTGCTACTTACTTGTGAATATCAATATCTTCCCCATTCTTCTTTTCCATATGCAAGAGGAGGTGCTTTGCGGAATCGGCAAGCGGAGGGAAGACCTGAAAATGAAAGGAACGTAAATTCCTGGTTACGCTTATATTTTTAAGTACGTTTCTATACACGGACCCGCTTCAAATTGTTGTTAGAAAACTGCGGAGAAACCAGCGAGCGCATCCGCTTCCACCTAGCGCCCCACGCCTGCGCCAAGTGCGCCCTCGGGTCATCCCCGCTCGGCTGGATCACAGGGAATGCCTGAAGTTGAACAATAATCACTTAATAGAAGCAGTTAGCTTACCTTTCGTTGCTGAAACTCGTCGAATCTGGTGACCAACACCTCCTTGGCCGTCTTGAGGTCGGCAGTTACCAAAATGTTCTTGACACCATCTTGGTAGCCCCAGAACTTGCCGAATTTCTGAAAAAAATTGTTTTCCAACGAAAGAAAAGGGTTCTAACCTTTGTGTAAATAGGCAGCTTCGTAGTCCAGGCAGTTTTCGGGTTGCTGGTGGTCCAGATGTGGCCGAAGAAGAGTTTAGAGGGGATATTGGGGATGTTTTTGCGATCCCAGTAGGATCTTCGATCGTTCGCCCACCAGATGTAGTAGGCGAGGAGGCCGAGAAGGATCGTTCCGGCTAATAGAAGGAACATCCTTTAATAAAATATGTTTAAAATATAAACGCCTTAAAAACACAAACGAAAACGCTCACAACTCAAAAAATAGCGTTTTCTGAAAAGAGATACGCGAGATTTGGCCCGCCTTTTTGAGATTGAGTATCGGAACTGACACTCTAACTTTATAGTAAAGAGATAACAGTCATAATCGATTAAAAAATTGTATACAAAAGGCAGAAAGTTGGAAGTTGGAAAGTTACAATAATCCGAAAATTTCGATAAACTATGCCAAAAACTAAAAATACTAAACGACGAAAATAAGAAGGCGGAAGCATCAGTTTTTCGCTTGAAAGTCTTTTTAATTTAAATGCAATTATTAAAAAGTTAATATCCGTATTGAGTTTCAATAGGAATTTTTTAGGTTTATATTTCTGGAGGTAGCGACAGCTCGTCAGATCCAAATTTATACCTTGGAGGCGGGCAATTCCCCTTAGATTGCATTCTCTTTTTCTTGTTTTCCTGCTCGAAACCGGGGTTTCGAAAGACTCTACCCAGTTTGCGTGATAAGACAGTTTTCCCTTTCCGTGGAGTGCCCCGGCGACCCTGGGCCAGGGCTCGCAGCGTTTGACTTGTGACACGGGGAAAGAGGAAAGAGAGAATATGACTCTGATTCCTCTGACTGGGTGACCATGATAATTGCCGCAGGTGGTTTCCACAAAAATTAGGCTCGTTTGAGCTTCAGAATTAGTTAGGAAGCTTTCGAAAGTGATCAGAGTGCCCTACAACGAAAACTCGAGAAAAAATTTCGAAAGTCGAAATCGTCCAACCGCAAGGCCTTTTTTGTTGACGAAATCCCATGAAATACCTTAACTTTTCACAAAGAATTTGTTTTCTATTGTCGGTATGCAAGACCGAGTTTCCACAAAAAACGACCACCTTAACTCGACGCAGAAGTATCGGATCGTAAGGGTAGTCAGGCGATTCGACAGCCCTTGAAACGGCGAATTTGCAGCAATTTTCAAAACTATCTTTTTATTTAAACCGGCCATTTTACAAGACATTTTGTCATTTTTCGGTTTTTCCGGGTTGTATACGAGCTAATTTGCTTCTTTTTCCAAGCAAAATGACATAACCAGATTTAGGCGTTAATTCGAGGTAACGGCTGTTTCTTAGCATTTTAAATACATTGTAAAATTGCGCATTTAAATAAAACGATATTTCGAAGAGTGTTGCAAACTCGCCATTTCACGAGCTCTGAATTTGACTTCACCATCAGAACTCCCATTCCGATCGGACCGTTCTCCGTCGAGTTAGAGGTTTTTTTCGGAAACCCGTACTGTTGAACTCTCAATTAGCATACCCGCAAATCATACCGTTTTTTGGCTGAAAAATCTCAAAAAAAACAACACCCAAGTTCTCTGAGCAACCATGCGGGCGTGGCTACTGATTGGTATTTTTTTTGTATGAATTTGTCGGTATTAAGCTTGATTTAGCCTCGGTCTATTGGGTTTTGAACGCCGCCAAGTCGTCGGACCACAACTCGGAGTACAAAGTGCGTAAAAGGCCTAATTGCAAGTTACCGTTGGCTCCTAGGTGGACAGCGAAAATGTGTGCATCACCCCGGGCTGCGTTCGAGCGGCTGCAATCGTGGTAGCTTGAGAAAACCAGCAATTTGAAATTAACCAACTTGAAGCTCGAGGGCATGGAAAAGGCCGTCGACCCGTGCTTCAATTTTCACGAATATGCCTGCGGGCGGTTTAATCAGGTGTGATCTTTTGAGATCGAGAGAGAGAGTGAGAGAGAGAGAGAGAGAGAGAGAGAGAGAGAGAGAGAGAGAGGGAGAGAGAACGAGTAAGAGATAAGAGGAAAGCAGAGAGCGCGAGCGAGAGAGAGATAAAGAGAGAGAGAGAGAGAGAGAGAGAGAGAGAGAGAGAGGGAAGAGAAAGCGAGATAACGATAAAGTCAAATTTTTCGTTTCGGAAAGTTTCGTTGAATCTGCTTTAGAAAGAGCCGTTAACCCGGACCTGGACCATTTACCATGACCTCCAAAGGCGTCTGCTTGGTAAGGAAGTTAAAAAAACATGTAATTCTATCCACCGTTTTCTTAGGATACCTTGAGGAAAAAGATGTGGAAAAGCTGGACCTGAACTCCATGGCGAAGGCGCAGAAAATATTCAAGGCCTGCAAGCAATTCAAAGAGATGCCGGAAACGAGCCAGTAAGACTCCGGCTTCCGAGAGTTTGACATTTTTTAGCCTGTTCCGCGAGTATGCCATAGACAAATTCGGATGGCTACCATTATTGCAACGGGGTAGACAGGCGGTGGGAATCGCATTTTTAGTAACGTTTTATTTTTTTAGGCAAATACCGATCTGCTGACAATCCTAACGTCATTCACCACCGCCGAGTGGATGCCACTCATTGAAAGGATCGTTGAACGTGGTGATGTTCTGGTGGTGGTGGGTCACGCATCGTCGGCAAAGTTTTTCAACCACATTCAGGCTATTGACGGGCATCAGAAAAAAAGTGGGGCAAAGAAGGAAGCGATTGAGGAGCTGTACAATCAAGTCAGTTGGGTTTTGTTGGGGTCTGCGATTTTGTAAGACGATTTCGTGTTATAAAATCAACCCCTTAAATTGCTTTTCAGAGTTTCAACACTACCTCCAAAATATTGGGAATTCGGATAAATACCCTGGACGCCGAGGTGCAGCGGCAGTTCGGGGATTTGGTCGAGTTTCAGTTGAAGATCAATGAGGTGGGTTTTTTGACTTTGTGTAGAACACGAACTTTCGTGCTTATCAAGGTGCTTTCGCATTATCGGGGGGGGGTATCGGATAAGCCCCCTACCAAGATATCCGTTTATTATGACTTCAGGTAGTCGATGCCGCTCAAAAAATCGCTGACCACAGCAAACGGACCTTTCGGCAACTTCGAGAAGCGGCTTCACCGGTAGAATTAGAACTATCTCGGTTTAATTGAATTAAAAATCAGATACCGTCATGTTTAATTAGAGTTAGAACACTAATTAGAACTTCTTCATCATTTAGACGACTTAATCTACTCTTTGTAGTTGGACCTTCAAAAGTTCATCAGCCCTCGATTGCGTCGGAGAGATTTGGAATCGCTAAACGACGACACGTTATTGGATGTCTTGGGCAAACCTGTGAACGTACTGAAAAATGTGGGAGAGCTATAAAATCGACGTAAAATTAACAGATACAGAATATATCAGAATAAGGCCTTCCTCGTTTTAGCTGGTACGGCTCTTCTCGAAAACCAAAGAAGAGTTGCTGCGCAATTTCTTCCTGCTACTCTGGGCGCAGAAAATGGAATTGGCCCGGGATCAGCTCGACGAGAAGGATTGCTTGACATGGGTAGATGATAAAATTCGGAAAACCAAATATCGAGCATTAAGACCCAGGAATCCTATCGACAGGTCATCGACCACATAGTTTCCGTGCGCTTACGGGATCCGGACGAGCTTCTGCGGGCCAAGGTCGGAGCTTCATAAAAGTTTTTGCAAAAACCAACAGTATCCTTAGGGTCGAATTTTTTCAATCTTTAGAAAGAAAATTATTAAAGAAGGCGTTGTTATCATCTTTAAGCGTAATATTTTCCAATTTCCCAGCCATGAAAACTATGCAAATTCTGTTAAAAACATAAAATTTTTCGACTTTTCAAACAAAATTTCATCTTTTATGACATTCTGAAGTTCTGTTAGGGTGTTTTGCCGCCTGGGGCACAATTTAATTTTTCAAAAAATACTTTGGAAGAAAACATCGTTTCACGTTAGGAGGCATTTCTGAAGTAACAGGTCAAAATGCAGCTCCTGTCCTCCGATAATGCGACAGCGCCTACAAAAATCAAATAATATCAGGTTGGAAAGAAAGTCATGGTACAAAATCTTTAAACCGCTGTAAAAACCCGGCAGGAACGTCCGATTCGAAAGTTTGTTATATGGTATGGTATTAGGTTGTACCATAAGTAACTGCAGACGACCTTCGGCCGCCTTTTCCGGAAAAATTTCACCATTTGGTTATCCGTTTCTAGCCCTCTGTTTGGGCTCGAAGGGTACTATATGCTCTAAAAATTTCGAAAAAATCCTGCCTCGAAAACATTTTTTATAAATGTTTTCCCCGAGGTGCCCATCGACCTGAAGGGAGCGACATCCCGGCCCCCTCTTCCTTTCGAGCCATGTAAAAATTCATAGCACCGAAATGCCCAAAGCGTATTTTGTAATAATTAATGCCAATTTAATATCTTCTTAGCTGTGGTGCTCAATTGGCCCCACGGATTTCTAATCAGCCGATATTCAGGATAGTTTGGGCAAAAATCCGAATTCCCGATGCGCTTGGCTAACAGGATCTTATCAATTTTTTGAGGCGAATCAAATTAAAGCTGACTCATTGCCTCTAAGCAACACTTAATGACAAACATTATCCTAATACCAGTTTGCATCACTCCCTCCTTTACCTCAACAATTTTTGCCAATTAGTGGATCAACAAGTGACCAACCCTGAGATGTGCCGGCGACGCACAGTTCTGATCGCTACTCTTTAATCCCTGCCAAGCAAATATTTTTTATGAGTTATTATTATTGGGCAATAGCATGAGATACTGTACTAAAATTTCCAATGCTCTGAACCCAAACACTTAGGGAGCGAAAAATTTATAGAAAATGGACCCGAAATTCCGGCTTATGTCTCATTGCGAGACCGATCTGGAACATCCTACTATATATAAAAAAACCAGATGGTTACAGTCGCTTCGCGACTGCAACCATCTGGCCTTCGGGTTACCCTACATGTCCCACTCCACCACATCCTTTCCCACCTCCATCAATACCCCCCATGGCTGAAATCCCCTTCAAAAACTACATCGATAACTTCCGGATGGCTTCAGATACCCCCCATGGCTGAAATCGCTTCAAAAACTACCTAAATACCTTCCTCATGGTTTCAGATACCCCCCATGGCTGAAATCCCCTTCAAAAACTACCTAAATACCTTCCCGATGGCTTCAGATACCCCCCATGGC